ATGGTGATCAACCGTGCTGAAGGACTTTATTAGATTCATAAAGGTCGGTTATATTTGTCAAGACGTTTGTATGCTCTGTTCCACATAATTCTTTCTAAAATTTTTAAAAAAATAGAAAGTACAGAGATGATCGACAATTTTTTACGATTGGTCACCATCTTTCCAAATAGGAGTAATTTAGCAACTGTTAATTTCTCTGGAAAAATTCTTTCTTTAATTAAGGCGCTGAAAACTTTGAAAAAAATATCTTATAATTGCTCAAAGCAATTTGTTCAATCATACTTCCATTTATTTTATATAACTCCCATAATTTATTTTTTAATAGATTTGAACGCCCTTTCAAATTCTTTAGTAGATAAATCAACGGATATTTCAACAGAGTATATACACTTATCCTAGGGTAATAAGAAGTTACTAAATAAAGCTCTGGTATTAAGAATCTTATTTAATAGTTTAGGATCTTTTTCAGTAAAAAAAAATTTATTTACGTTGTATAGCGTTTGGTTCAAATATACTAGTGTTATCAGTTTTAATTATTTATAGCAAAAACATGTTTCAAAAATTTTTAAAACTGCTCATAACTTGAACTGACTCAACTTTAAGAGCGTCTAATTGTCTAATGATATATATATATATATATATATATATATATATATATATATATATATATATATATATATATATATATATATATATATATATATATATATATATATATATATATATATATATATATATATATATATATATATATATATATATTCAGTTTTATATATATAATATATATATATATATATATATATATATATATATATATATATATATATATATATATATATATATATATATATATATATATATATATAAAACTGAAAATAACCTTTTTCATTATTTTTAAAAGGTTGAAACTTTACTTTATTTAAAGTAAAGGATTAAACTTTACTTTATTTAATTATTAATAATCCATTTAATGATGCTGCCAAAGAACACTTTTGTCGGCCAAACAGCTGCAGAGTGTATTTTCTCTAAATCAAATTGCAGATGACTGATTTAAACCCTAAATCAAATTGCAGATGACAGAGATAAACTGAAAATTGTATGTTGTGAGGCACGCGGACTTTTGTGGCGAATATTGAAACTTAAGACGAGTATTTATACGGTCTTGTGAAATAACATTTTAGATCAACGTCAGTCAATGTAACCAGCTAAATTCTACAGGATCTCAATCTGGGTTTTAGCTCGACTGTTTAAACAAAAAAGTTTCTGAAAACATTTGGGTTCAAACAAAAATTTTTCAAGGAGTATGAGAATAAAGAAATAAAGAAATCTGAAGCAACAAAATACATGGAAACACATCAACGTCGATGAAACCTACAACTTGATCTATTTGATCAACCTCATCATCAATATGAGGTTGATTTGTTTGATCAACCTCATCATCAATATGAGGTTGATTTATTTGTTCAACCTCATCATCAATATGAGGTTGATTTATTTGTTCAACCTCATCATCAATATGAGGTTGATCTATTTGATCAACCTCATCATACGCAGATAGTACCAATGCAGAGCAAATCAGAGAAGTTTTGAACAGAAACTTTTATAACAACAATTGATCAGTTTATCAGTGCTTTGAAACATTGAAGTGCGTACAAGTTTATTTTCGTCACGGATCGGTTTCATACAACAATTCAACTTGCTTTAATCTAAAGAGATACTGATGGCAGCATTAAATTTCGTTGGGATCTATAAAAACGACATTGATATATGTCTCAGAAATAATCTTGTGCAGTTTACTGAATTTGTTAATGCAATATTAATGTTATGTTAATGCTAAACAAGAATGAATGTTAATGTTAAACAAGAAGAATGTGTCTATTGTAAGAACTTCATGTATTAACTAATCTTTAAAAAACAAGGCCATCTTTAAAAAACAAGGATCATTTCCAAACATGGAGATAGCGCTCCGCATATGTTTGGTGCTGATGGCAAGTAACTGCAGCGCGGAGCGTTTGTTTTCAAAATTGAAACTTACAAAAATAAACTTTTGTGGATCGGATATGCAGTGATCAACTGGCTCTAATGAGTGAAAAAATCTCATCTTTAAAAAGATTATCTGCTGATCAAAAAATTGATTTTTTAGCAGAGATTTATATATTTTATAGCATAGTTTTATTCGACATTTATTCATGTAAATGTAAAAAAATTCAACTTTGTTGTTGCCCAAGAGAAAAAAAAGTACCAAAAGAAGAGCATAAGTTTTTGCTTGATTAAAGACAAGAAAGGTATAGATACGAACTGAAATAGGTTCTTTTAACTAAGTTACAAAAAAAGGAAACTAACTAAAAAAGGTGATTAGAACCTTTGAGAAAATGCTTCAATGCCCCATTGCAGTGGATTAGTTGCATGTTACATTTAAATGAGTTTCAATGGTCAAGAAATGGTACTCTAAACATTGAACGCAATTTTAAAAAATACAGAAGGGAAACACTTCTTGATGGAATGTCAGATTGAAACGGATAAAGGCAAAAATTGATTGTGAATAACATGAAAGTAAGAGCTTCTTAAAGAGTAACATTCTTCACGAGTCAAACCAGTCCTGATTCTTTGGTAAGAGATGTTGAGAACTGGCCTCTGTTTTGTCGTTCAAATCAATATACTCGGCCACCGTTGGGAGCTGATCAATCATGAGAGCTGAGAACACTAATTCACAACTCTTTCCAGAAAATTCTAAATTATGTTTCTCCAACAGAAGATCCACTACCCTGCCTTAAAGATAAGCCGCAATAAATACAATTATATCCTTGAACCTTGCTGAATACATATTGTATTTTGATAAGGAGTTAATACCAAAAATGGTTTTTTAATACTTTGAGAGTCTAGATGAGTTCAATAATGATCATGAAAGAGAATCAATCCTGTCTCTAAATCTTGCTTTTCTTTATCACATTCTATATTTTATGGACTTCTTTTTGACTTTTTTTTGACGATCGGTTTTTTCTTAGTCGTATGAGCATTGTAATAAGATTTTATAAATAAATTTAAAAAACAGCAATGATTACTATACAAACAATTCCCATTGGACAATCATTTGTAGTATTTGCTTTAAACAACCTTTAATGGTTGCTACACAAACAATTGCTTTAGGAAAAATATTTGTAATACTCTCTTTAACAATCATTAATGATAGCAAAACTATTTCAATCATTAATGGTAACAAAACTATTTTCTTGGGGACAAATTCTGCGCCAAGAATTTGCACTTAAATTGAATAAAAATTCGTAACGCTCAACTTATGATAGCTAAGGGGTAGTTGGTACTCTAGAACTAGGGCCAGGAGGTAAAAAGGGTCTGGCGGATATCAATAAACATCTAATATTTATCTATCAACAGACACACGTACATAAACTTAACTTACATATGTATTTATTCTCAAACAAAAATTTTTTGGACCGTTTTGTAAACCATTTCCCACTTTTTTTTTTTTTTTTTTAGGTTATTGGATTGTTAAACATAATTTGGTCAATAATCTTGATGTTTTATTTTTAGTCCTCATTAATATATAACATGCCAAGAATCAAAAAGCAAAGAGCAATAAAAATTGGCGCACTGTCAATATAATTTCTTGTTTAAAATAACATTTAAACATGATGTTTGATCTTGTTTGATTGAATTTAATAAGGTCAAATTATGTTACTTTTGTGGTTTTAGTTTAATGAATTAATTAATGTTTTAAAAAGGGGGCGTAATGATACCGTCCTTTATTACAACCCCCTCCCCTTATTCTTTTTTGTTTTTTTATCTTGACCCTCCCCATCCCTTCTTTTGCATTACGTCCTTTATGGATAGTCCCTTACAAGTTTTTTCTGTATTTCGTACCTTTGCCTGTAAAAATTTAAAGTAATTTTAAAAATACTAACTGATAACATTCATTAAAAATATATATACTAACCTAGCAAATATAATGTTCCTAAAGCACTTCCTTTATTCTTTTTAAATAAACGGTTTTTACCGGTTTTTTAGATTGGCAGACGGCAATATAGTTCGGGGTTTGTTTTCTTTTTGAAATATAATTTTTTTTATAATGTTAGAATTATTTAAACCGACTGCTTTATTATGGATGGACAGTTGGTGGTCCGGATATACATATCTTTTACATATGTTTTTTAGATTAGTTTCCTCTTGTTATAAAATAGGTACAATATTTTGTTTGAATGATCAATCATAAAAAATACATAGATTTATATGCATGGCTAGAATTTAATAAAAAGATGTAGAAACTCATTCTATAGTTTCAATTTCCATAAAAAGTTATTGACATTAAAATTAAGTTATATAGTTGATAAAAAAAATTATTTCATTATGTTATTGATAATCTTAATATAATATATTTATTGGATTTTGCTCTAATTCGACTTAAAAAAACTAAAATAGATAAAATCATTAGCAAATATTGCTAGATAAAATTATCAAATACACATAACATAAATTACAATACAGATTCAAAAAGCGAGTTACTTAGTTACAGTTACTTTGCTGCCCTTGTATTATGGTGTCTACAAATATTCTTAGCCATTAATATTGGAGAAACCTATAGACATTTCACAACTAGTTTTGAAAAAATTAATTCCGTACAAGTAGTAAACAATCAAAACTTGATAAAAATTTTGTAGTTTTACAACCCCTACCAAAAGCATTGGTTTGTAACAAATTTATTTTTCCGTTAATATTTCTGAACATTAGACTACTTTCTTTTACGCAGGATGAAATAAAAGCGTTTTCACATTATTTATTTTTGAATCATAAGTAAGGATCAGTAATTAAAAAAGATAAATCTTGAATAACCACGATTGACAAACAAAAAACAGCATCAGCAATAGCAATAAACATCAAAACTCTGTCTTGCTTTAATAATTCCAACAGCTTTAAGGAGGTATTCAGGAGGTATTGAAGATTTCAAGAAAACTACATGTTTATAAAAAAAACAAACATGTAACATCTAGGTTTTGATATTCAAGTTTATCGGCAAAAATGTTTGATACATTTTTGTTATTTTTTGAATAAAGTGTTTTGTTATTATTCAAAAAAATTAACTAAAATAACAATTCTAAAGATTTAAAATAAATAACAATTAAAATTTTATATAAATAAAAATTAAAATAACTAAAACAGTTATAAATAAAACAGTATCACTGGGTATCATCGTCACCTACATCATCCATTGCAGCAATTTCTTCCTCGATTGCATGTGTATTATGTTTCCATGTTTTAATTTCTTCGGAAGTTTCTTTGATATTATGTTCTAAAACATTACAGTTTCGTTCTGCAGCTTCGATGCGAATTTCAACTTCTTTAAACTTGTTATCAAGAAAGGATATTTGCTCAGCAATATTATTTTCTTTCTCGTTTGTCCGACCTTCCCTTTCCTCTAGATCTTTAATACTTTCTAAACCATTTTTAATTGTGTTCTCTAATATTTCTATGCGTTTTTCGATTGCATCTGCTTTAACCGTTGCAGCTTCAATGTCACGATGAACAACAACGTTTCGTCGTTCTTTTTCTCGAAGCTTAATTTCATTTTCTTCGAGTTCACGTTTTTTAACTTTCACCTCCTCTTCAAGGCTTTGAATTTTTTCATCTGATTCTGCTTCTTCTTCTTCGTATTGATTTCTAGCTTGTTTTACCGATTCACTGACATCTTCTAAATTATCTACTTTGCTTTGAAGCATTTGAGCCCTTTCGGTGACGTCATTTAAGTTTTGTTGAACCAACCGAATTCGTCTTTGAAAACTTGCAACTTCTCCCTCTGCTTTTTCAAGGCGACTTGATGCTTCAACAATGCTACTTTTTGCGTTTGCTCTTCTAAGATCGGCTTCATCAATTTTTGAGTTAATACCTTCAATTTTACCTTGAAGTCGAACAAGTTTGTTAACACCAGTTTCTACTACCATGGTTAAAAAAAATTTACTAAAGTTGACAGAAAAACGAGTTAGTTATAGAGTTGCCCTAAAATATTGATTTTGAATAAGTTGCAATGTCTAAGCAACTTTGCTACTTTTGCGACACCTTTCGTTTATTTAGACATAGCATTAGTTTTATAACTTTTATAGGAGCTGGCTCCAGCCGTTTTGCTTCATTGCATAAATAAAAGGCATAATAAATTCTTAACCTACAAATATATTATTAGAATGTTATTTCATAATGTATTAACAATCTGGATTAAAACTCCTAACTTTACAATTCAATGTAAGTTAAACTGCGGCTTATATCACGCTAGTCATTGATTATAATGTTCCAAGCTACACGTTTTTTAAACACACTGCGTTAAAGAAAACTTAATATCAAATATTGTAAAAACCCTAGCAGGCTAAAGTATTTTTAAACGTTTAGAAACTTAAATGCAAGGTTGAAAAAAAATACAAATACGTTTTATTTATATTATGTACTATGTACATAAACATACAATGTTGTATGTACAATGTACATACAAAGTTGATAAAGAAAACAAATTTGTTTTATTTATATTATGTACTATGTACTATCGTGAAATAAGCGCTGTGTGACGTCATCAATGACGTTTTATAAGTTGTATTGAAAGTTTTCGTCAGTTCTAATTTATTGTGCTACCATAATTACCGAACAAATGCTTTTTATTTATTAATTGTTTATAATTAATAAATATAAATGTATACTGTCATTAAAACCTAATAAATTGTTTATTAAATTCGTTATTATTTTTATTAACTCCATTTTAAATTTTATAGTTTTTATAACTATACTATTATTTTTATTCCAACATTTTATGTCAATCACAAAAAAAAAAATAATAATTTGAAATTAGATAAATAATTCAAAATATTTCATATTCTTTAAAAAAAAAAACATGTATGAACGTTTATTAAAACAATTTTTGTAATAATCGATAATTATCTGTTATTAATAGATAATTATCAATTAATTATATAAAACTTTGTATAGTTTATACAATCTAACGGTAACAGTTTTGACTTTTTTAAAATTTTTTTTGTTTAAGTAGAGTTGGATTGTTAATTTCTAAATTTAAATTTATTTTCATAAAACTTTTTGAATCAATCATGGAATTTCATAAAGCATTAGATTGCCAAATTTTACGTTACTTATTGTATAAAAGATGTTTTGTTTACACACCGCAAAGTATTTAAGAGATATTTTTGATGACAATAAATTACAATCAATTGTTTTTACCTTAAACTTTTGTTACAAAGTAAACAGGAGACTTAAGGTTAAGAGATTATTTGATAATAAACTGTGTGGTACTGTTTGAAATCCTGCTTCATTGTAAATGTACCACCTAATATTGATAAAAAGTTTAATTATGAGTGACACAGGTGAGATACATATCAATACATTTAGATGCATATTGATTTGGAATGAATGCAATTTAGGTTATGAGCACAATTTCAATTTTCTTTTATACTCTCAATAATAATGAGATTAATTTTCTTTTATACACTTATTAATAAAAATATCTTATTTTATGTTCTCCATAACAACTATTTTTTATTTTAAAAACTATAATCTAATATGTTTAGAAATAAGTTCGAGAAGCTTTATGAATAGTTTAAAAAGCATAAACTATTACGTAACAAAATATTTAATATATACATATATATATATATATATATATATATATATATATATATATATATATATATAATATATATATATATATATATATATATATATATATATATATATATATATATATATATATATATGGCTTATACCAATTATTTACAAAGCGTCAAGAAGGTTTATAACTAATGTTTTTTTAATTTTGACATTGTATAGCACATATTGAAAAACATTTTATAGCCACTAGCTTAGATAACTAGACAGTAGACTGTCATCATTAGACACTAAGTTTATGTTGTTTTTCAAAAGAATTACGCGTGCATAACTCTTCAATTTTTCACCTTTATGATTATTAACACTAAATCATTATTTGTGCTAAAGTTCATTTTCTTAGCTGTCATTATTTAGCAAAAGTTGCACAATTAATTAAATTAAAACTAATATATTGTAGAAGATTTAATATTAAAATCAAAAATACTTAAGAAAATATTCATCTTTAAACGTCTGAATCATATACTGTACAAACTATACACTATATGGACTACTCTACAATAGTTGTTAGTCAAGTACTTTGGATATACATTTAAAATAATTAGAAAATATTTATCACGCAAGTTTTATCTATTAACAATTTTCCAAAAATTATTTCCATTATAAGACTAATTCTTATATTTCCGAGCTTATTAAAATCTCTAAGAGGATTGGATACAAATTAGTATTATTAAAATCTTTAAGAGGATTGGATACAAATTAGTATTAGCCGTTCCAATTTAATTCTATTTCTTTTAAGTCAAGTTTATTAACTATACATAATAATACGCAAAACCCTTTTTTATTAATTTTTTTTTAATTTTAAAATGTGAGGGGCATATAAACTTCTTCCTGGGAATGATAGAGCGGGATGTCACAATTTTATAAATTTCCAGCGGATGTCACAACAGTATTAAGATAATTGTTCCAGTAATGGAACTTGCAAGAACAAAAAGTGATTTTTAAAACTTTGATGGAGGAGAACGCTCCGAAAACACTAAATTCAATTCATCAAATGACATTTATTGTCATGTTCATCGATTAAAATTTATTGTTAATTATCATTATCATGTTCATCAATTGACTTTTTTTTTTAATGTACTTTTTTTTACTTTTACAAGAAAATAATAATATATTTACAAATTGTTATTTTTCAAAAACTTATTTTTTCATTAGGTTAATTTTATCATGAAGTTAATCATGAATTTTCACCTTTTTTTTCTCAAAATTTTTTTTACAGTTAAAATAGCATAAACGTATGAAGTATAGTTTGCTATTTTTCAAAATAAATAACGGTGTAGTCGTGGCGCAGTGGTTAGAGCGCTTGCTTTATAAGCGGGAGATCCAGGTTTGAAACGAGCTTTGGACATATTTCGCGTCACGGTATGGAAGGAGGCGTGAACTTCCTGGTTAAATGTACTTCCGCGGTGCTCTGTGGCAAGACGGTTAGGTCTTCTTGGGGCATATATATATAAAAAAAATAATAATTTATTATTATTCTTTTTTCTTCTTTTTTCGATGATTTAAATTTAGAGAATTCTTTTATCAATGATTTAAATTTAGAGCCTTTAGGCTATAAATTTAAAACATCGAAAAAAGAATTCAAAAACCAAAATAGATATAATTGCAAAAACAACTTTTTTGCTCCTTTATTGAACAAGACTATGATAAGTAAAATAAAAATGTAATGAAAAAATTGAACAAGGAGAAAACAAATTTTAAAAACTAAACAAATCTGATAAATTTTGAATGAATACTTTTTTGTATTATTAATGTACTTGTGTTTTTACTAAAAAAATTAAAATGATAACATATTGTTTCACCTGCATTAAAATGGTTTAAAAGTGACAATAAATTGTTTCACCTGCATTTATTAGATTAGATTGTTGCCACTAATATTATTGTTGCATTTCCCAATATTTTATAGTATATTAATTGTTTTTCGCTATTTCTACCACGAGGATGAAAGACCATTTTTAATTCTTAAAACAGCAGACTTTTAAAAAGCAGAGAACTTATGTTTTATAACATGAGAGTTACAGACACATGTGTCAGTGATTATAGTGTATCAATAATGAAAGCCTTGTCAACCAGGCCCGGTTTAACCACTAGAAAGCCAAAATCTTTATAAGGCACTGCCCTAAAAAATATTTTTTATATAGCTACATTTTTTAGATAGAATTGTTGACATATGAAAGTTGAAAAAACCTTCATTCATTCATTCGGGATTCATATTTCAAAAGCAAAAGCAGGCGCAAAAACATCATTTTATTTATTTATTTTTATACTAAAATAATGTTTATTATTTAAAGTAAAACCTCAAATCTAATATGATGACTTCTTCATCTTTCATTTTTATTTGGATGAAGTCTTAAAGATTCTTTAATTATTATTTATTTTATGCAATGTGACATGAGATATCAGAGAATACCTCAAGACTCAATTTTACAATATTTTATGCAATGTGACATGAGATATTAGAGCATAACTCAAAGCTCAATTTTACAGCATTTAAACAATAAATTTGAATTTCATTTGTGGTAGTTTTTTGCTGACCCAGTTGCCACCGGACCAAAAAAAGACGTTTAAAAGACGTCTTTTTTACATCCGTGCCCACTGGGTACCTGATATGACTTATGAACTATTTATTAAATTGTCTATTCTAATGATACTAATTGATGTTTTTGCGAATCTGAAAATTTTTTCACTGGTGTTCGTATAATCACTATTTCACTAGGTTGTTTTTGAATTTAAATTACGACGAACTATCGTTTTTCCATTTAAAAACAAGCTTCTATTTTGTTGATTCTCTGTTTTTAGTGTTGCTTTCACTTTTTTAAGATACAAATTAAATATTATACTTTCACTTTTTAGATTTTTTGTGTTCAATGATGTCATATTGTGTTATAACGTTTACTTCATTTAGTTAGCTCATCAAAATCATCTCTTAAGAGACCTACCGTTTGATAATTTTAAACTTAAAACCAGTTATTTGTTTTAAAAAAGTTACTTTGAGTGAACTAACTTTGGAGTGAAGTTAAAAAAATATTGGAGTAAGCTTAGGCCTTTTATTAACCGGGAGTATTAGTTAGTTTACTATTTTAAATTCCCATAGATTCAATTTTAGCTAAAATTCTAACTTTATTTTCATTTGATAATTTGAAATATCTTTATTCACGTTACACCCTTCATATCAGTAGAGCCATAACATACTAAATGAAGATTAATTAATGTTAATATATATAAAAAACCTGTTCGGATATTCATTAATAAGGTTTTACTATGTAAACAGGCCCATGGTCCTGATTATATAGTATGACCAGATTAGTGATAACCAGATTGTTATTAGTGATAATCAGATTAAATATGCACTAAGTTATATTGCTAAGTTATAACACTAAGTTTTACT